GGGCGGCCCGCAGGGGCTGCTGGCCGCCGTCTCCGGGCTGGGCGCGCGCCCCGCCGCGCTCGCCATGGCCGCGCCGATGCTGGGCGAGCTGGCCAAGCCGGCGGCGGCGGCGGCGGCGGCGGCGCGCGCGGCCTACGCGGACTACGAGAAGGAGAAGGCGCGCGGCGCCGAGTGCCACGCCGAGCTGAACGAGGCCATGCGCGGGCGCGCCGAGGAGTGGCACGGCAAGCCCAAGGCGGTGCGCGAGCAGCTGGCGGCGCTCTACGGCTGCGCCCCGTTCAACGTGCGCTTCAAGAAGGACCACTCGCTGGTGGGGCGCATCTTCGCCTTCGACGCGGCGCCGCGGCCGGGCTACGAGTTCGAGCTGAAGCTCTTCGCCGAGTACCCGTGCGGCTCGGGCAGCGTGTACGCGGGCGTGCTGGGGGTGGCGCGGCAGATGTTCCAGGACTGCCTCAAGGACCCGGGCAAAGTCATCTCCTCGGGCTACAAGTACCTGGAGTACGAGAAGCGGCACGGCGCGGGCGACTGGCGCCTGCTGGGCGAGCTCTTCACCGAGGGCGTGCGCTTCTTCCGCGAGGCGCCCGCGCCCGACGCGCTGCCGCAGCAGTTCCTGGACAGCAACTGCGCCATGCCGCCCAGCCTGCTGCTGCGCGCCGTGCCGCCCTCGCGGGCCGTCATGCGGCGGCGCAAGGCCTCCCCCGAGCCCGACGGCGAGCTGGCCGGCAAGCTGAGCAGCGAGGAGCAGCAGCAGCGGCAGCACTGGCTGCCCCACGGGGCCGCCGCCGCCGCCGGCCTCTACCCGGCCGGCCTGGCCCACCTGCCCGCCTCCGCCGGCCCGGGGCCCCTGCCCGAGGGCGCCCTGCGCAACGACCCCTCCCCCATCACGGCCCTCAAGAACGTGGCCGACACGCTGGGCAACAAGGAGGCCAACCCGGTCCACTCCACCACCGCCCGGCAGAACAGCGCCAGCCCCGCGTCGCCGGCCGCCTCGGGGCAGCACCGGCTGGTGCCCCGCAGCAGCGAACCGGGCCAGGCGGCCACCACCTCCTCCTCCTCCTCCTCCTCGTCCTCCTCCTTGGGGGCCCACTCTTCCGGAGGGGTGGAGCCCAGCGGCACGCAGAGCGCCCCCGACTCCTCTGGGGGGGCCAGCAGTGCCCCCCTGTGCTGCACCATCTGCCACGAGCGGCTGGAGGATACCCACTTCGTCCAGTGCCCGTCCGTGCCGGGGCACAAGTTCTGCTTCCCTTGCTCCCGGGATTTCATTAAAGCCCAGGGAGCGGCCGGAGAGGTCTATTGCCCCAGCGGGGAGAAGTGCCCCCTCGTGGGCTCCAACGTCCCCTGGGCCTTCATGCAGGGCGAGATCGCCACCATCCTGGCCGGAGACGTGAAAGTAAAAAAGGAGCGCGACCCGTGAAAAGCGAGAGCGGCTGGGACCCGGGACGCCAGGCCAGGGGGGACCTGAGCCCCCACCTCACCCCCTGTCCACGGTGGCCGTGACTGGAATTAGTAACTTATTCCCTGCCCCGCAAGGCCCTCTTTAACCCACTGTGGACTGGGGTATTGTATATAAATCTATTTTTTAAATAATATTTCCATAGCGAGCTTATATAAGAAGCGACATCTACATAACCTACTATGGGGGTCTGACTGGGGAAGGGGTGTGTGGGAAAGCGATCGTGCTGCTTGGTCGCAGGATGGGAAGGGAGTTGGCCGACGGGGCGAAGGAGGGCAGGGTTCCCGAGACGAGTGTTTCTAGGTGCTGTTCTGTCACCCGCACACCCCAGCCCCATTCCTGCGTTTCTGGCTACGTCTCCAGCTTCCACACCAAACATCCTTGGCATCGTAGCCCTGTTCCCACAAGCACGGAGGAGGCCTCCGAATCCAGCGCCCGTTTCGCCTGCCCCCCTCCCCATGAACTAAGCCACCCCCACCTGTGCACCCCTTCCTTGGGCATTGTGTAATGGGAGAATCCTAAATTTGTGCAGCTTTATGGGGAGTCTAAACTTCTGTAACTAGCCAGGTTGGATTCTGTTCTGGGCGGGGAGGGGAGGGGAGGGAGGTAAGGGAATGAGAATCATGGCAGGATGGGGGCGGGGGGGCGAGGAAGGGTCCGTAAAACTGGGGGATAAGGGTGCACAGGAGAGGTGGAGGTGGATAAAGTGCCTCTTGTGTAGAATTTCTTTTTGATTGATGAGGGGGTATTTTTCATACCAAAAGACTAAGCATGCACGCCAAAAATAGAAAAAATGTGTAAGTTGGGGGTGGGAACAGAAAGGAAACCTGGAACTAAAGATTTGACATATTTTTCATTCCCAGTCCTTGATTTGTGCAAGACTCCAAAACAGTTTATTCAGTAAATGGAATAAGGGCCTTGTTTCAGGGGTCCTGGGGATGGTCAGGCGGCCCGTGCGGTGTCCACCATGGCTAAGCAGGGCTGGGGCTGGCCTGGGGGGAGAGCGCCCGAGAACCGCATGAGGCCACCTTGAGTTCCACATTGAGGTGGAGAGGAAGCTCTTCCGTACGGACCCGATCCACCAAGTCCTCCCGCGGTAATGAATGGCAGATGTTCACATGCAAGTTGTATGGCTTTTACTGTGGGGGGGGGTTTTACCTGTACTCCGCTTTGGGATTATGTTATAATAAAAGTAGGTAATACATTTTATAAATAAATAAATAAGCAAGTAATCGTTGCAGTGAAGGGCATCCTGGCTGCTCAGGGCACGTGCCTAAATTGGCTGCAGGGGGGAAGGCAAGAGGCAGGGAAGGAATCGCTGTATTTCGATTCTCGGCCCCAGTCAAAATTACAGTACGGTAAAATAGGAACCCAAGGCAGCTTAGAACTACAAAGATGGCGGGGGGAGTCTCCTGAATGGCATCCTTAGCCAGCTGTAAACGGGGAAATTTTACTTTTTTATTTGGGGGCGGGCGGTCAGATGGCCAGGGCAGCCCCGCATCAGTGCCGGGGAGGGAGACGGGGCAGGCAGCGGCTGTGATGTGGAGGTAAGTCAGCTGCAAGCGCCCCCCCGCCCCCCCGAACGTCAGACGTGTCTGGTTGTGCATCCGTGTCCTGCACCGGCAGGTGGCTTTTGCCGGCGTTGTGTGTCTTTGTGTTGCTGTGTGGGGCTGGGTGGGAGAGCAACGCAGAGGCTCCCGGGGGCTCGGTTCCCACGTTTTTATCATTGCGGGGAGACAATAAACAAAAGGAGGGAGAGAGAATGTTAAATTTGTTTTTGTATTTCTTTTACTCGTCTCTGTCAATAAACTTGATTAACTTTTTTCCACTTATTATGGCCCGTTTGTGTGTGAGATCTCTCAAGACAGGTTGGCAGGGCTGGTTTCTATTCATTGGTTTTCAGTGCTATGAGCGCCCTTTGTTTTCACAACATCCCTTCAGGGTTGGTTATCTGGCAAGAGAGGGCGAAATGCCCAGCGAGCACTTCAGTCATGAGGACTGCAGCCTTGCCTCGCCACCTGCAGGACACACTTTGCCCATCCTGCAGAACCGCCATGTTGCCAGTCCCAGCTTAGCTCCACAGGTAACATGAGATTTTGCCCTACCTGCTAGAAGGGCTGGGTAGAGATATGGGGGGGGGGGATCTAAAAAAGAATATTTTTCTGGGAAAAATGCTTTTCTAGGGGAGAAAAACTCTTTTCGGGGCTTCCACATCTGCTTCCAAGGAGACAGGCCAGGACATGCAACAGACAGCGTTAGCCTCTGGTGCTCGCTCCACCGGGTTGGGAGGCAGGAGGGCTCGGGGACTCGGGTAACGCTGCTCTGCCACTCTCTCTCTGCCTGTCTGCCTGGGAAAAGTTGGACCAGTCCGTGTTTTCCAAAGTCAGTGTACGCAGGGACACTGGGAGCCACCTTCGGCTGTCAGGAAAGGGGTCCGTTTTCCTGAAGGGTTCAGCAGCAACAGCTCTGCCCTCTAGGAGATCCTGCTGTGGATGGGGCCTGGAGCCTTCCAAGAGCAGAGCTAGCCCTCTTCCCTGAGCTGCAGCCCCCCCCCCCGGGCCCCCTGCTATGAAAGGCTCGTGGCTTGGACCCCAGGGCAGCTCTCGCCTGCCCAAACCAGCCTTCCGGGCCTGCACTGTCGTGTGAGCAGCCCCTGCCATGCCGGGAGCTTCCCAGCAGTCTAGAAAGGGCAGAGGAGGTGGGCCAGGGAAAGGCACGGGCCGTCCTGGAAGTTGGAACACGCAAGACCCACTTCCTACCTGGATTGTTGCTGGAAACACAGAAACAACGAGTCAGAAGGGGTCTCCCAGGCCATCTAGTCTGACCTCCGGCACCAGCTGGCTCCGCTCACGACATGCCCACCATGTGCATGTCCAACCTATCTTTGAACACCCGCACCGATGGGGCCTCAACGACCCCTCGTGTCATCCAAGAGAAACCAAGAGAAGGGAAATGAACAAACCAGGGGGAAAGTGCCGTATGTGTGTGTGTGTGTGTCTACTTTTTCAAAACCATCTTTAAGTATTTGGCACCATTTCCTCACTTGACATTTCTCAGAGCTCTGCCCCGTCCCAGATCCCAAATGGTTACAGACCTGTGATGACGGGTGAGCTTTCCTTCTGGTGCACCCCTTCATCCTAAGGGTGGTCTCTCCCCCCCCCACAAACTGGAATTAGCAATGGGGGGGGCGGCAGAGGACCCATCACAGGCTGAATGACATGTACATGGTGGGCATGTCATGAGTGGAGCTGGCTGGAGCTGGGGGTCAGACTAGATGGCCCGGGAGACCCCTTTTGACTTGCTATGTTTCTATGTTTCTCCCCCCCCCCCCCGCTGCAATGGAGCAGCATCTCCTCCCAGTGTCAAGGAAAGGACCCTGCCCAGGGCACCCGGCATCCTCAGTGTTGTGCCCATATCCTCACTGGATGTGGCATCAGGGATGGGGGGTGACTGTCCTCACCCACATGGGCCACAATGGGGGCCCCACGGGCCAGAGGCTCTGCATCTTTGCCCTACTCTAATTAGCCGGCAATTTCTGAGCCCCACGGCCAAGCACCGCTTTCGGTTTTTTGCCTCAAATCCAGAAAATCAGAACTCAATGAAACCACGTGGAAATCCTAAGAACTCCAAAGGTAGCTTAGTAACCATGCAGCTGTCACATGGGAAGTGAAAAATTCCTTTTTAAAACCCAGGCAAATGTCTAAATATATACCAGGATTTGTCTGGGGTGGGCAGGAAGAAAAAGGGAAAATAAGAGACGGTAACAGGCACACCTTCAGGTTCAAAATTCAGTTGATCAGCCTTAACTACTTAGATGTCACCTACTTCCTTCTTGGATTTCAGAGTGTAGGAAGAATTGACTGAAGAGAAGCTGGTCTGAGAAGGAGCATTTTAGCCTCTGATTAGCTGTTAATTGGGAAGGCCAGAAGGAGTGCACAAACCTCACTGTTTGCTCAGTAGTGTGATATCTTGCACGGTGCAAGCAGAATACTAGATCAGATGGAAACTCGGCCTAATCCAGCCTTGGGTCTTCCTAACGTTGATGCCAGTGGATGAACGAGCAAACCAGAAAATTCCCTGGTCACCGTTCTCACCTTTGCAATACCCCCACACTGGAACTATACAAGAACTGAGCAGTTCCAGCTCGACAAAACATCTGTGTAGAACAGCTTCAGTCTTGGAGAGTTTCCCCGGCAAAGTGCTAACTTCTCAGATGCTCTGAGGGGCACTGCTGAGCCAAACGGCCACTTGCAACCTGGAACCCTGCCCAAAGCGCACTCCAAAGCAAGGTGCCCCTGAACCTTCTCAGACAAGACACCCCCAGCACCTCTACACCTTGCGAAATGTGGACACCGCGGATGCTTTCCGGCAGCGACAGACTTCCTTGGGTGCGGAGGTCGGTCTTGCTGCGGGCCGCCCTTGGGGGCCAGTGCTGCAGCCGGAGCACACTTCACCCCGAGCCCCTGTGCGGTCCGGCTCTCTTGCGGGACGCCTCTCTTCCACCAGGTGGCAGAGGGAACCTGGCTGCCACTGCCGGGACCTCAGGTAGAAGGCAAGCCAGTTTCAATTGCCAGCCAGCGGGCGGAGTGTTGTGGAAGTGTCTAACTTTATAAGGACCTGGCTGAGTCGAGGGCTAGTCCTTCAAACACCAGGAGATGCTCTGAGGACACCCAGCAGCCAACTCTGGGCAGCAGCAGCTGCAGCGGACTCAGCAAGCGCACCCCAAAGCAGCGCCCCCCCCCCCCGCCTGCGAGCCTCGGTGTCCCAACTCGGACAGATTGTCCTATTCGGTTCTGCACTATGGGAGTCTGTTGACTCCCCAACCTGGGGGCAGCCTTCCCTCTCCGTCACCACTGCGCGTTTTCGAAAAAGGCGCAGGCACGTAATTCGGCTCTGGACTGCTCATTTTGGCTGGGTGAAATCAGGCTCTGTTTCAAAAATAACACGTTCTTGAGGAACAGAAGAAGAAGAAGAAAAGAAGGACCCTCCGTTCCCCAAGATAGCAATTCCAGGATTTTCCTTTTTAACTAGAACACATAGACACGATATTACTTCATTTTTTTTTCTTTCCGGGATTTTGGAATGCTGGGCTCCATCAAAATGGAATCGCACGACATTTCTGAATGGACATCATACTATAACGAACCCACGGAGGTAGGTCGAGTGAAAACGTTTTTGGAATATGTTTATTTTTGAAAAGTAGTGGGGCTAACAGAAAAAGTGCCAGTGGCAATTGTGGCAAATTTGTCTCCTCTTTCTGTAATAATGTCGGTCACAATCCTTCATAGCAGAAGGTGGCTGGGATAAGTGTTGTGTTATCGGGGTCTAGGTCCAAAAGTGTTGGGGTGAGACACAGAGGTGGCCATTTGCTACTGCAGCGGAAACTGTCTTCAGATCCTTCTCTGTTTTTATCCTGTCTATGCGGCATTTTTATCTTGTCATGCATTGCTGTAAACCACCCAGGGAGCTTTGGCGATGGGACAGTACAGAAACAGAAATAATAACAATATTTTGTTTAGTCTGCTGCGGCTTCGTGCAGCAGGTAAAGTCTCGTAGACTCCAGTGAAGTTTAAAGACGCAAGAACTGCTTTCCTAGACACAGATCCACATAATCTGGCATTTGGTCCCAAGGATCGGCAGGCAGATTTTCCTAGGAAGCAAACCGCAAAGACATGGAAGCGAGCGCCTTCCAAAGCAGTTTGCTCCCAGGATCTGTGCAGTACTTTTGGCCTGCAAACCGGGAGAGTCTGCCCACCTATCCCGGAGAATGGAGAAGGATGCTTGCGCGTCTCTGCGCCTGCTTGGTTATTTTTGCTGTGGTCATCTTATTACATCCTAGAATGTTTCTGGAGAAAAGTGGAAGAGGGGAAACAGTAACTCGCAAGGGCCCACTTGGGGCTCCAATGTATCACAGCTGAGGCTTCCCCAGTCCAGCACCTTCTGGATGCAGTGGGCTACAGCTCCCAGCACGATGCCGAACTGGGGAAGGCTGAGTCACACCAATTCAGACCCCATTTCCAAAACTCTGCCTTTTCTTAGGCATCCCCAACGCATCACTTCTGTTGTGGGGGGAAACGGAAGTGAGCCAGCTTCGAAGCCGAATCTATTTTGCTTTTTAGTAGAACCATGCGATCGACCGACCCAAGCCAGATACAAAATGGTCGTTCAGCGGGTGGAGTCAATTATCTGCTGTATCCCATGAACTGGCATATTTATGAATCTACAAAGAACAGGGATTCTTCTCATATAGCACCGGCAGAGATGAATATTAAGACCTGGTAAAAAGCAGCCAATTAATACTCCTTGCAGATAAGGAACATGAAGAGATAAGCCATTAGTGCAAGTCTAACCGTGCCAGGAATTTTTCTTTCCTTGCTATTTTTTCCTTACTCTTGAAAATGCAGAACTCTTGGAGAATTTCTAACCCTGATATTTCTGCTAAACCTTTCAGCTCCTTCAGCATGGCTATCTTTGCTGCAGTTAGAAAACCTTCTCATTAATCTCATGTGGATTTTCTCCCAGCTGTTGCAGCTGTATAAGCCAACATTTTTGATCCAAGGGTCTCCAGGTAGAAAAGGTGTCGTAATGTGGTGGGGTGCAGGGTTTGGAGGGAGTTTTACGAGGGAAACATAATCAGGGTGCTACTGGCTCAGCTCACGTGCAAATAGTTTTCTGTTGTATAGTCTGAAGCACAAACTTCAGAACACAGTTCAGTTCTGCCGAAAAGAAATTAAGTTGTCCTTGTGGGGTATCTCCCAGCTTCTCCCAAGCCACCTGGCCCTACAGTTTCAACCCAGTGACTCCCACAACTTGATCCCGGCCGGCCTCATACATGCAACTGAATAGAGGTGATGAGCGACTTCCTTCTGGGGAAGTAGAGGGGAAAGAACTTGTCCCCCATGTTTTAAACTCGGGGTTGCAATCAGAGTCGCTCTCCGTGATCCAAACGTCCCTTTGCAAAAGGGGCTGAATCTACTGCAGCCGACGCTCAGCCAGGCCCTTCGCAAGGGGCGCGTGTGCAGAATTTCCCCAGATGAGCGATTCCGCCGCACACACTTCAGTCGTGGGCAAGCCCTGAAAAGAAAGCCAGGCTGAGACCTCCGTCTCGTACGCGCTTTCATAGGAGCCAGTCCCTCCGAGCTCAGTGGGACCTGCTTGTAAACAAGCCACCACGCCTTGGAAAAGGACCTGGTGGAGTTGGGGTGAATGCAGAGAAGGGCAGAGCGGGGAGCATCTCCGCTACGAGGAAAGCTCTGATTTGTTGAGGCTAGAAGGCGGGCGAGGAAGGGGAGGCATGATGGAGTGCACAGAATCACGCTGGATGTGGAGGGACCTCCTTTTCCCTCATAATGCTAGCGTCCAAAGGGGCCACCCCATGGACCGGAGCAGGTACTGGGAGGGACCTCTTCACACGGTGGGCACGTAAAGCAGAGAATTCACTTCCACAGGGTTTTCAGAGTGACGGTCACCAATTTAGATGGTGTGAAAGGGGGACTGGGAAGTTAATGGAAGGCCAGGGAATCTGTGGCTATTGGTCATGATGGCCGTACACAGCTTTCAGTGTCAGAGATAGTACGCCTGTGTACACCAGTTGCTGGGGAACATGGGTGAGAAGGTGCTGTTGCATGCATGCTCTGCCTGAGGGTTTCCTGAGGACAGCTGGCTGGCCAGGACATGAACGGCATGCGGGCATGATGGGCCTTGGAGTGATCCAGCAGGCCACTCTTGTGTCCACGGATTGCATGCCATGTGCGCTGGTCTGGAAGAAAGGTTGACTGGACTCAGTGGAAATTAATTCAGAGGAAGCATCAGGCCGTCTTTAGCCTGGTTCCCATGGAACGATAGCCTGGTTCAAATGCAGTGTGGGTTGAGTGTGGGTTGGTGTTGAATTGTGGGTTGTCCTAACATGCTTTCCCTACATGATACTTGAGCTGTGTGTTGTCACACATGACCATCCAGGAAGAAAACCAATTGTTTGTGGTTGGGTTGCAAGCTCAGTGTAGCTAATGGTTAACAACCCATAGTTAAACCATGGTTGGAGCATTCACAGGTAATGACAACCCAAGAATGCACTATTTAATGACAGCTATTACTTAACCCCTATCTTCAGGTGCTGTCATCTGCAAACTTAGTGTCTTTCCCTCCTCACGTGTATTTTTATGTATGTATGTATGTATTAGATTTATATCCCATCTTTTTCTTTTTTAAAGAACTCAGAGTAGCATATTATCTCAATCTTTCAAGCATGTAACAAAGCAGAGTATGGATTGTCCCTGGAAAAGATATTTCTACCCGGACACTATATTTTTAGGGGAAATCCTAGTACTGCCTCCTACTGGAGAGTTGACAAGGAAATGGCCCTGTAAAATACGGGATTAAGCTCTCAGAGAGAACATGAGAAAAGTCAAGCTGGGCCAGAACCACGTCCCATCCAGTCCAGCACTCTGTTCGCATGGAAGCAAACCAGTGGTTCAGAAGGATCACGCAATTATTTATCTATGTATTTAAAGTTTTTCCTTACTGTCCTATTACCCAGAGTCTCAGAATGGTCTTACAATAAAATAGAGTGAAGCACAGCATCATCTTCTATAAAACCCCAGTTAGAACAACCTTTAAATCTGTAAATGTTGGGAAAATGAAAAGGTTTTGGCCTGGCACAGTGTTAGCGCCAAGTGAGCCTCTCTGGGGAGCATATTCCATAGCCAGGGTGCCACCACAGAGAAGGCCCTGCTCCAGTGAGCCAGTCTCCGATCTCCTCCAAAGAGGACTCCTGAAGAAGGACCTCCAACCCAGATCTTAAGGGGCGGGCAGGCACAAAGGGAAGGAGACACTCCTTCAGAGATCCAGGTCCTAAGCCCTTCCTTTCATCTGTCCTGAATCTCCCACCCATCACCTTTCCGGGATGTTCCCTTCAGATTTGGATATTATGGGAGAAAACGGTCCCCAGTTCCACTTTCTCCCCACCAGGCAGAATCTGCAGGAAGGTGAGGCCTCTGTCGTGCCTCACCTTTCTCCCTTCTCCTGATCCCGGCAGTTGTGACCATTCCTCAGAGGGCAGGTGCTCCGACCCTCCGATCGTTTCGGTTGCTCTTCTCTGCAGCTTTCCCAGCTCCATCACATCCTTTTCAGGCATGACAACCAGAACCGGACACAATACTCTACGTGCAACTACTCCAAAGGGTTGTATAAGAGGAGGGCCATCTGGCAGCCCCGTTTCCGCTCCTTTCCAGTGGCCGTAGCTCTTGCAACTGGGGCTGATCGTTGGCAGCCCAGAGCAGCCTTCGGGCGGATCTTTCCACGCCACATGGAAAGCCATTTTCCTGACAAACAGGAGGCGGAGAGGCCTGCTTCCAGAAATGCGCATGTGCCCCTGGATGGCATCAATTTCTCTACAGAGTTCCGTACCGCTTTCAAAAACATGCTCGGGTGGTTTTGAAAAAAACAGTGGCAATATTATTATTCATGACGGTGGTGACGTAAGAGGCCTCGCAGACTAACCAAACAATAATTTCATTTAAAAGAGCAATGTCTGCTGTCTAGAGCAGCCTCCCTGAGCCTGGGGCCCTCCAGATGGGCTGGACCACAAGCCCCATCATCCCCAGCCAGCATTAACTTGGTAGCTGGGCACAATGGGAGCTGTAGCTCACGCATCTTGAGGGGGAAGGGTAACCTTATGAAGATAAAGAGGACCAGAAAAGGAAATGGAAGGACACAATATTGTTCCCACACCCGCCTTCTTGCTCTCATGCAGAACCCAAAGCAGCTTCTTAGCGCCATTTGCCCCTCACAACAACCTTGTGAGGTCGGCTGGGCTGACTGTCCGCTGGCCCAGCGTCTCCCAGGGAGCTTCATGGCCAAGTGGAGACCAGAAGCTGGATCTCCCAGGTCGCCGGTCCAGAGACAGACAGACAGACAGACAGACAGACAGAGCAAGCACTACTTGATCCCAAGCTCAACATCAAGGAGCACACTCAGGAGCATTACTCACTGAGCAACCAGGAACCCCTGGCGGGGAGCATCCCCCATGCCGTGGAGATGCCCGAAAGAGGAGCAGAGAGCCCCCGACGGATGAATGCACCAAGACCCACCGGCCACGGCCTCCAGGAACGCACAGCACCCCGCTCGGCAAGCTCGTGTGCCCAAGGCACAAATCG